CACTACAGAGAAACCCTGTTAAAAAAAAAAAAAATTAATTGGCCAGTTGGTGCTGATTCACTCCTTTAATCCCAGCACTCTGGAAGCAGAGGCAGGCGAATCTTTGAGTTCCAGGCCAGCCTGGTCTACAGAATGAGTTCCAGGACAGCCAGAGTTACACAGAGAAACCCCATCTTGAAAAAAAAAAAAATTAAGTAGTGCCTAAACCAAAATCAGTCTTTGGCTAGAAAGTTCACCCCTAGCTTGAAAGAAAAGTAAACCTAGTTAGCAACCTGAAACTTAGCCTCGTAGGAATACTGTTCTGATTGATTTCTGTGGTATTTTGCAGTTCCGGCTTGTCCAGAGTAACTTGATGAGAAATTCTGCAACAGAAAAAATTGAACCAAGGTAATAATCCTTCAGCCTATGAGTTTCAATTACTCTTTACATCTAGTTTAGAGACTTTGTTAAAATGTGGTTTTTAGTTTTTATTTTATTTTATTGTTTTATTTTGTTTTGTTTTTTGAAACAAGGTGTCTCTGTGCTCTCCTGGAACTCTCTATGTAAACCAGGATAACCTCGAACTCACAGAGATCCACTTGCCTCTGCCTCCCAATGCCAGGATTAAAGACCTGTGTCACCATGCCCACAGTGGTTTTATTCACTTTTTTAATGATTTATTTTTATTTTATGTGCATTGGTGTTTCATCTGCACGTATGTCTGTGTGAAGGTGTCAGGTCCTCTGGAACTGGAGTTACAGTTGTGAGCTGCCATGTAGGTACTCGGGATTGAATTTAGGTCCTCTTGAAGAGCAGCCAGACTCATAGCAATCCACCTGCCTCAGTCTTCCAAATGCTGAGATTACAGACATGAGCCACCAATTTCCAACTCTTATCAATTTTTCCTAATAGAAGATACCATACAAAAGTATCTATATAACACATGTAGTTGATAAAGAATAATGGATTAGTGGCTGAGGATATCTCCGTTGGTAAGAGTGCTTACCTAGTATGCACAACGCCCAGCACCACATAAAAACAAGATGATGGTTCATGCCTATAATACTAGCACCCCAGAAGGTAGACACAGGAGGATCAGAAGTTCAAGGTTGTCAGCTACAGCTACATAGTGAATTCAAGGCTAGCCTGTACTAATGAGACCCTATTTCAGAAACAAAATTAGGGACTGGAGAGATGGTTCAATGGTTAAGTTTGGTTTCCAGCATCCAAATCAATGTCTCAACAATCACCTGTAATTCCAGCTCCAAGAAATCCAACATCTCTGAAATCTGTGGGCATCTACACCTACCCAGATACAGACATCCACATCCACACATAATTTTTTTTTTTTAATTAAGGGGCTGGAGAAATGGCTCAGCAATGAAGATCACTAGCTATTCTTCTATATGGCAGCTTACAGTTATCTGTAACTTCAGTTCCAGGGGCTCCAGCACCCTCTCTGCCCTCTGCAGGCACTGCATGCTCTTGTTGAGTAGACGTACTTGTGGGCAAAACACCTATACACATAAAATAGAAAAAACTTTTTAAATGTTTTTAGTTTTAAAAATTAAATAAAAAAAATTTTACTGTATACATATTATACTGCTTCCTTTCTTATGGCACTTATAGTCTATCTAATTGATGGTAATTGTTCTAGTTTGTTTTCTGTTTCTGTGATCAACACCAATAACCAAAGCAAGTTGGGGTGGGGAAGTTGTTTGACTTACATGTTCTAATCACAGTCTGTCATTGAAGGAAGTCATTGACACAAAGACTCAAGCAGGCAGGAACTGATAGCAGAGATTATGGAGTGCTACTTACAGACATGTCCTTCATGGCTTGCTAAGTTTTTTTTGTTGTACATCCCAAGACCATCTCCCAGGGCTAGCACTACCTGTCCAGGGTTCTGGGCCCTATCACACTAGTTATTAACCAAGAAAATGCCTCACAAACTTGCCTGTAGTACAATCCTATGAAAGCATTTTCTCATTTGAGGGTCTTTCCAGAATACCATAGCTTATGTTAAATTGACTTAAAAAAAACAAAAACTAACCAGCAGCTGCACAGTGGTGGCACATGCTTTAATCCCAGCAGCACTCAAGAAGCGGAGGCAGGCAGCCTGGTCAATAGAGTGAGTTCCAGAACAGCCAGGACTACACAGAGAAATCCTGTCTTGAAAAACCAAAACAAGCAAACTACCTAACCAGCATAATAATGATAGCTAATGTGTATATAATGGTCATGGTATGCTGGGCAGTACTTAACAAATATTAATAATGGATAATAATGATAGCTAACATGTATATAACATTCATTATATGCTAGACAGTACCTAACAAAAAAAGAAAATGTGGTAGATAGCTGTCTCTATGACAAATAAGGCAATGCAGCCACCAGGCAGAACTATCCTTATGTACCTGGGTGAGGAGGAGGGAGTCTGTGTTTACCTTGTAGCCTTCCATTTAGAGGAATAGAGCGTTCTTATTCCCTGTGTTCTTTGTCTTAGGGAGCTGGACCCCGTCCTGACTGAGGTCACCCTGATGAATGCCCGAAGTGAGCTGTACTTACGCTTCCTCAAGAAGAGGATCAGCGCAGATTTTGAGGTGGGGGACTCCATGGCTTCAGAAGATGTAAAGCAAGGTAAAAAATATTTTTCACGTTGGGTGGGAGGACTGGCATAAGCTGTTGGCACTGTCTTGTCATAGCCACAGAGCTTCTAATAAGGAAACCACTGAGTCTCTGGACAAAATGACCTTTAGAAGAAATGTTCAGTGTGCCACATCTTAGAATTAGATTGGAATTTTGAGGCTTCTAAACACTTTATCTAAAGACAAGGAAAATCAATGTCCATTCATTTCTTAGACTTTTCTGTGTGCCGGGTCTCGTTTATAGTTAGACTTAATAAAAGTGTGCGTATAAATGTCTAAATACTACAAAAGACCTGAAACTGGATCGTAGCCATTGTTGCACAAATATCGTAAGTTGGTAAAGATCATTGGATCGTACACATACAATGGTGAATTCTGTGGATCAGAAGTTACACCTCAGTAAGCTTAAGTATATAGTACAAACAGGATATGGAAGTACATGCCTCTAGTTCCAGCACTGAGTTATGTCGCAAACCTTTCACAAAGAGAAAATAAGCTGGGCATGGTGCACACCTTTAGTCGTAGTACTTTGGAGGCAGAGGCAGGCAGATATTTGAGTTTGAGGCCCTGTCTCAAAAGAGGGGTGGGAGGATCTACGTAATAGAGAAAGTCTTCCAGTTCTACCACTCATAATTTTTGAAGAGAAAGATGGCATTGAAGAAAAACAAGGGGTGCTGGAAAGATTGCTCAGTGGTTAAGAGCAATGGCTGCTCTTCCAGAGGACACGGGTTCAGTTCCCAGCACCCACATGGAAGCTCACAACTGCCTTTAATTCCAGTTCCAAGGGATCCAGCACCCTTTTCTGGTGTCTGTGGGCACCAGGCACATACATTGTGCGCAGACACACATGTAGGTAAACACACACATAAAATAATAAAACAAAAAAATTTAAAAGACCCATTTTCTGGTCCCAATAAATAAAAATTTTAAAAAAGATGGTTCACTGTCTGGTTTCATTTGCATATAAACTTTTCTTGGGTTTTTTTGGTTTTGGTTTTGGATTTTTGAGACAGGGTTTCTTTGTGTAGCTTTGGCTGTCCTAGAACTAGCTCTGTAGATCAAGCTGGCCTTGAACTCACAAAGATCTGCCTGCCTCTGCCTCCCAAGTGTTCTAATTAAAGGTGTGCACCACCACCACGACTGGTTTTCTTGTTTTATGGTTCTTGGGTTTTTTGTTTGTTTGGTTTTGGTTTGTTTGTTTGTTTTTCGGTTTTTCGAGGCAGAGTTTCTTTGTAACTTTGGAGCCTGTCCTGGAACTCACTTTGTAAACCAGACTGGCCTCGAACTCACAGAGATCCACCTGTCTCTGTCTCCTGAGTGTCTTATTATTGTTGATTTGAAGTGTATCTCATGTTACCCAGGCTGATCTCAAGAAATCATCTCACCCCAACTTCCCAGTAGATTTACTACAGGCCTGTGTGTGTACATGCCAGGTATAGTGATCCAAACCTCTGTAGACCTAGCTACTCATAATCCTGAGGCAGGAGAGTTCCTTGAGCCCACAGTGAAACCTGATTCTCATAATGGAAACCCTGCTCAAAAAAAAAAAAAAAAAAAAGTATTGAGTTCCTGTTGAGTATCTGCAGGTCCCCTACTGGCAACCCTGGAGACTCATGTAGTATCTACATTCTTTGTTACTTATGCCAATAAAACATGGCAGGGTATTATAAAGGGAATTATGTTAGTTACTTATCAATGTCAATAACAACCATCACTATTCAGATCTATGTTGTACAGCATAGCAGTCACCAGGTGCTTATGAGTAACTATAAAAGGTTACCTAACCTTTTAAAGGTGTATTTATTCATGTATTTTATGTGCATGAGTGCTCTCTCTTCATGCAAACCAGAAGAAGGAATCAGATCCCATTATAGATGTTTGTAAGTCACCATGTGGTTACTGAGAATTGAACTCAGGACCTCTGGAAGAGCAGTCATGGGCTCTTAACTGCTGAGCCATCTCTCCAGCCCCTGAAATTAAAATTTAATTAAAGTAAAGTCAGACGTGTTGGTGTTCCCTTTAATCCCAACACTTGGAGGCAAAGGCAAGTGACCCTCTAAGTTTGAAGTCAACTTCATCTACAAAAAGAGTTCCAGGACAGCCAGGTCTACACAGGGAAACCTTGTCTTAAAAAATAAGTTAAAATTGTAAAGTTCAAATTAAAATTCAAAATAAATTTAAAATTTAAAGCTCAGTTCTTAGCCACATTTGAAGTCTCAAGAGTGGCCATGAAGCTGGGCATAGTGGCACACCCTGGTAATGCTAGTATTTGGCTGGCCTGGACCAGCAAGCCATTCTTTAGTGACAGAGTCCTTAGAAGTAAGATCTAGGGGATTGGAGATAAAGAAGATAGAACAGGTGGGAGACCTTGCATAAAATTATCTTATGCCAAGCAAGTTTATTAAGAAGTACAGTGTCTTGTGTACTATTCCAGGAGAGAAATGGAAGGAAGTCAGCGGAAAGCTAATCAAAAAGTGTTGCACTAGGGGAACACAGGAGTATCTTAAGGACATTACAGACCAAGCACACAGCAGCCTTAGAACTGATAGCTATAGCCCCATAAAATGGGAAGAGTTGAGTTCTCAGGATCCAAAGCCACAGCTCCCCCAAGGCCAGGGTCTAGTCCATTACCGGCTCTACCAACCATATTCCAGGTTTCAAACATCAGGGCCTCAGGAGCCCTGGCTTCAGGCTATTACTGGCTCTGCCAAGCATGTTGCCAGTTTCAGAGGAGCTATGTTCCTTCTCCACACTTTAGAGCCTCAGAGAAAACTTTAGATCAGCCCAGCCCTCAAACACTTGGCTAAGACACAAGTCCCACCACAAGGTTGAGTCTACCTAAGGTAATACAGCAAGATTTCGTTAAAGGGGTATGGGGATGGGGTGTCCTATCTTAACTTTTTTCCCACATGTCTATGGATGCATGTAGAGGGTGCACATGCATGTGTGTGAAGGCCCAAAGTTCATACTGAGTATCTTCAGTTGCTCTCTACCTTACATATTAAAGTGGTGTCTCTTGCTGAGCCCTACTTTGGCTAGCCAGTTTACTCTCTGGTTCCCTGTTTCTGTATCCTAGGATAGGATTACAAGCAGACTGCCAACTCCATGACTTGGTTTTGGTTTTGGTTTGAGACTGGTCTCACTATGTAACCCTAGTTGGCCTAGTACTCACTATGTAGACCAGGTGGGCCTGAAATTTACAGAGATTTCCCTGCCCCCAAGTGCTGGAATTGAGTGTATGTGCCATCATGTGTGATGCTTTCTCCTGACTTTTTAACATAGCTATATGAATTCTTGTACAGCAAGCTCTTTACCCACTGGGCCATTTCCCCAGCCATACCATAACTTTTGACTACTATATTGGACAGCATAATTGTAAAACATGTCCTGCTGAGCAGTGTTGGCACATCCCTTTAGTCCCTAGCACTCGGGAGGCAGAGACGGGTGAACCTCTGTGAGTTCAAGGCCAGCCTGGTCTCCAAGAGCTAGTTCCAGGACAACTAGATCTACTACACAGAGAAATTCTTGTCTCAAAAAACAAAAACAAAAACCTTGTCCTGGGCTGGCGAAATGGCTCAGACCATGAAAGTGCTTGCTATACAAGCCTCATGACTTGAGTTCAGTCCCTAGAACTTATGGTAGAAAAAAAGAACTGTCTCCCTAAAGGTTGTCCTCTGACTCCACAAGAGCACTACAGCATGCATGGGCCACACTCTCACACATTATTCACACACAACAAACACAGTAATAATAAATATATTTTAAAATTTCCACCATCAAAGATATACCTCCTGAACAGCTAGACAGTGCTGATAATAGAGGATAATGTGCTTTATATCTAATATATATTGGTCTTTGCCCTGGAAACATGTATCTTTTGACTTCTGTGCAATCTTGGAGAACTGTTGAAAAAGAATTAAATTATTTGTACAAAATTGTTTACTATGGGAGAAGTGACTTTATTCATGGAAAATACGAACCTGTTTGAAACAAAAACCAGAAGAGAACTTGAAAAATGAAAAACGTTGTTTCCCTTGGGGGGAAAAAGTGAATATTCCTTTCTTGACTGTCCCCTAGAGCACCAGAAGTGCCTGGACAAACTCCTCAATAACTGCCTATTGAGCTGTACCATGCAGGAGCTAATTGGCTTCTATATTACCATGGAGGAGTACTTCATGAGGGAGACTGTCAATAAGGTAGGACATTAGGATACATCTCTTGCAAGTGGAGCTTCCTGTCTAAGAAGCCAGGCTGAATGAAATGGCTGAGACCTGTCATATTTCTTGGTCCTGCTTCGAGAGTACTTTCTAATGCATACTGGGTAGCACTGCTGTATGTAAGAGGACATCTCCGGAGTTGTCATATTCTTCATGTTTCCAGCTGGGTCTTTCCCAAAGATAACAAGAGAACAGCTCAGCTCCCTATAGTGCCTTGTTCCCTGCATCCCTGCATGTATATTGACATCAAGATATTGGATATCACCAAGGCAGAGGCCCCAAATACTCAGTTTTCTAATGTAGTGATCATTAGGAAGTAAGGTGGTTTTATGTTGTTATTTTGTTAAAGTACGGAAAAGGGTGCAGAGACTGGGCTAGTATAAAGAGAACTATCTAGAACATTCAGAACTGGGATACTCACTGAGGGCTTTGCCTTTTGTTAGGCTGTGGCTCTGGATACCTATGAAAAGGGTCAGTTGACATCCAGCATGGTGGATGATGTCTTCTACATTGTTAAAAAGTGCATTGGGCGAGCGCTGTCCAGCTCTAACATCGACTGTCTCTGTGCCATGATCAACCTTGCCACCAGAGAGCTGGAAGCTGACTTCAGGTACTCTTGACTCCCTTTTTACTTTTGAGGCATAAAAATTCTAGGTGTATCTTGATTCCTCGGTCTCAACTGCTTCTTTTCTTTTTTCATTATGGGTCAAATTCAGTCCCAAACAAGATTAAGCTAGCTGGGTATGATGGCACATGCCTTTAATCCCAGCTCTTGGGAGGCAGAGGCAGATGGAACTCTAAGTTTGAGGCCAGCCTGGTCTACAGAACAAGTTCCAGGATAGCCAGGACTCAGAGAAACTCTGCCTCAAAAAAAAAAAAAAAGGAAGCTACTGTTCCTAATATAATATCCTTAGCTTGGACCAACTGTCCATCAGCCTTAAGTACCTAACTTCTTTACTTAACCTAAATCGCTAAAGTATGTTGAATGTGTCATTACCCTCAGACCCAAAAGAAAAGCATGTGGTTTAAATAAAAGCAGTAGTTATAAAGACATATTTTCCAGGGCTGGAGAGATGGCTCAGTGGTTAAGAGCATCGCCTGCTCTTCCAAAGGTCCCAAGTTCAATTCCCAGCAACCACGTGGTGACTCACATCCATCTGTAATGAGGTCTGGTGTCCTCTTCAGGCCTGCAGGCATACATGTAGACAGAATGTTGTATACATAATAAATAAATAAATAAATAAATAAATAAATAAATAAATAAATGATTCTTTAAAAAAAAAGACATTTTCCATCTCTACAAGCCAAGGATTATACTAATAGCCCCCGCCCTCTTACTGTTTTTTGTTTTTTTCAGGCTATACTGGAACTTGGCTCTGTAGACCGTGCTGGCCTCAAACTCAGAGATCCACCTGCTTCTGCCTTCTGTGTGCTGAGATTAAAAGTGTGTGCCACTATGCCCAGTTCAGCTCCCCCCAATATTTAATTGTATAGAAACCTTGATGTAGGGCAGATGAGATGGCTCAGCAGGTAAAGATACTTGCTGCTAAATCTGATGACCTAAATTTACTCTCCAGAGCCCACACAGAGGAAGATAACCCAACTCTTGCAAGTCTTTCCCTCATCTACACAAATCTGCTGTAGCATGTGTCCCCTCGCACAAAGTAAAGAAACTGATATGGGAAGTGTGCTTTCAGTTTTGTAGATGTGGGACTGGGGCTTAGAGAGATTGTGTCCTTTGTCATGGGTCACATACATACCCTCTTAAGTAGAACAGAAATTCCAGTACTGACTTGACTCAGAGTGTCTTCTTCAGCTCCAACGTGGCACTGCTTTTCACTGGGCTCTACTGTCCCCTCTTTGATGATGTTCAGTGATAATAACTGAAAGCCTGATGAAGAAGCAGACATTAGCTAGAACCACAGGGACCCTGTCAGAACCATCGCAGACAGTGTGGTTGCTGAAGAAGAGTGGGGTCCACCCCAAAAGAGCAGCTGGTACTGAGAGTCCAGGTAGTAGGTGCTCTGTTTTTGCTGTCCTGTCGGCCAGGTTGAACACTAACTCGGCACATACTCTTCTGCCCCACAGGGATGTTCTGTGTAATAAGCTGCGGATGGGCTTCCCAGCCACCACCTTTCAAGACATCCAGCGTGGGGTGACAAGTGCTGTGAACATCATGCACAGCAGCCTCCAGCAGGGCAAGTTTGACACAAAAGGCATTGAGAGCACTGATGAAGCCAAGCTGTCCTTCCTGGTAGGTGGCCCTCAGGCTGGCAGCTGGGTCAGTTTTTTTTTAAGGGTTTTTATTGTTTTGAAACGGGTTTTATAGCCAAGGCTGGTCTCAAACTTGCTACGTAATGAAAGATGACCTTTGACTTCAATCTTCCTGCTTCTGCCTTTGGAGTGCTGGGATTACAGGTGTGTGTCCTGTTTTAGCAGTGCTAGGCATGGTGTTCTCTACCAACTGAGCCACATTCCCAGCTCCCTTGAGAGGTTATACTGCAACCTCTTAGCCAAATTATAAAGAGCCTCAGGGTGAAGAGTTTTCCTCTAGAACTTAATAGAAAAGGAAATTAGCTTTAAGGAATGTTCCTCTAGGTTCTGAAACCACTTCCTACCCAGGAACCTGCTCTGAGCAAACCTGAGGCATAATATGTTTTTGTTTGTTTTTGCTTGTCTTTTCTTTTTTGCCAAAAGCGTAGGTTCCTTACTTTTCTTCAGTGTTCTTCCCAAGACTCCTCTGCCAAGCTGTTGAGGGGCTCTACAGTGTATGTATCCACCACAAAACCAACTCTAATGTCTATGCCAGGTTTCTATATTCTTTTCTGAGAAGAAGCCACGGTCTTGGTGGATACCAGTCCTTTATGCCTCCTAATGCTGCTTTTCTAGTAACTTCCTTTTTGGAACATGCATGTAATCTCAGCAGTTGGGAAGCTGAGAAAGGTAGATAATGAATTCAGGGTTATCCTGCACTACTATCAAGATGTTTCAAGGAGGACAGAAGGCATTTAGTCACACAAACGAGAGATGTGATGAAATGGTGAGACTTACCATCGTATGGTAACAGGGACAGAGAAGCCCGAAAGGATGAAAGCGTCTGTACAGGGTAGCAGCCAGTTTGTAACATACTGAAGAACACAAAAAGAATCTGAGGTTCATAATCAGGTTTCTCTGGCATGTGCTGACTTGACATGAATGGGAATAGCACTGTTAAAGGTCCTTTGTGTTCTGTTTTCAATATCACTAGACTTGAGTTTGGTGCCTGAGGCCTAGAGGCTGAAGAAAACATCCAAAGCTGAACTTTTAGTCAACAGTCCACAGATAGATTGTATGCAAAAAATGTGTCCATTAAGTTCTTAGTGCTCAGCTTCTCTGAGATTCATGTTCTTGGTCTCAGAGACATTGCCTAAAACTTGCTACTTTACCCTGTACAGGTAAATCACACTAACTAGTTACCAGACAGATCCAACATGGTTATTTAAGATGCCTTGTCCTTTTTCTGACATTGAAAATTTTTCCCTTGAGATAACTGTAGTGGCACACACCTTTAATCCCAGCACTCAGGAAGCATTGGCAAACAGATCTCTGTAAATTTGAGGCCAGCTTGGTCTACATAGTTTCAGGCCAGCCAAAGTTAGTTACCTTGTCTCAAAAAAAGAAGAGAAAATATTTTCTCTGGTATGAGTTCATCTATCTGAGATGTCGCGGGTGTTCTCCAAAAGAGGATCAACCTAGACTGGTATAGTGTACATTTATAATCCCAGCACCTGGGAGGTGGAGGCAGGAAAATGAGTTGAAAGACGGCCCTGTTTGTTTAGAAAGTTTGAAGTCAGCCTGGTATACATGAAGCTCTCTTAAGTTTTTCAAGACAGGGTTTCTCTGTATAGCCCTGGCCGTCCTGGAACTTGCTTTGTAGACCAGGCTGGCCTCAAGCTTACAAACATTCACCTGTCTCTGCTTCCCAAGCGCTGGGATTAAAGGCTTGTGCTGCCACCACCCAGCTGAGACTGTGTCTATTTAAAAAAAAAAAAATTTAAAAGGTTGAGCACAGTGGCACCAGCCTTTAATACCAGTACTGTAAGCTCAAGGCCAGCTTGGTCTACACAGAGATTCTAGGCCAGGCACAGCTACATAGTGAAACCCTATCTCAAACAAGCAAGAATCCTTAGGACCCATGTAGAGGTGAAGGGAGGGAGCCTTCCACAGTTGTCCTCGGACCGCAGTACTTGCGCTGTGTCACATGCACTGCACCATGCACACATTATACTCACACAAACAAATAATTTTGTTTTTGTTTTTAGAGATAGGATTTCTCTGTGTAGCTTTGGTGCCTGTCCTGAAACTAGCTCTTGTAGATCAGGCTGGCCTTGAACTCACAGAGATCCCCTGCCTGCTTCTGCTTCCCGAGTGCTGGGATTAAAACGCATGTGCTACCACTGCCCAGCAAATAATAATAATTTTTAGTTAATAAAAAGAGCTCTAAGAAATGTTTACTTATAAAATGTATTACTTTTTGAGAACTTTACCAAAAATGCCCAGCAAACCCCATCATACTATGATGAACTTACATCTTTTGTTTTGCTTGCATTCTATTTCTTTTGCTCCCCCCCCCATAGAACTTACATTCATTTTTTTTTTCATTTCCAGGCTCAGAAGCATTCACTGGCTTCTTGGGACCTACCACACCAAAGATACATGTCTTTGAGCAGGCATCTTTATTTTACTTGGTTTTTGTTTGTTTTTGTTTTTTCAGTGCTAGAAATCGAACCTAAGGCTTCGCACATGCCAGGCAAGCACACTGGTCACTAAAATATATCTCGCAATGCTTGTTTTGAGCCAAAGTCTCACCAACTTGCTGGGTGGTGGCAGCACATACCTTTAATCCTAGCACTTTGAGGCCAGCCTAGCCTATAAAGTGAGTTCCAAAATAGCCAGAGCTATTACACAGAGAAACCCTGTCTCAAAAATAAAAAAGTCTCACCAACTCACTCAGGCTTGCCTAGTTGCTCTGTAGCCCAGGTGACCTTGAATGTACACCCCAGCCTTTGAGTCGCTGGATTACTGGCACAGGCCACAAGCCTAGTTGGTCTTTTGTTTCAGGCCCCCTAAACCTCACCCATCTACCTTTCTAATACTTCCCACCACTTACTTCTGTCCCCAAGGCTGGCCAGCGAGCGCCTTCACTCTTCACTGCTCTGTGAAAACTTCCCATTTAGACAGTTTCATTGTTAGAAGACTCACATGATACAGCAAAAAGAAAGGTGGTGCTAAATGCTTGGTGACAGATTTCTGGTTTTCCCAGTTCCAATCACTTAAAATGTCATTACTCCCACCACAAAGCCTGTCTTGACGTTTTGTTTGTGAACTTAGCCTTTAAGCTGAACCATTTCTCCAGCCCCAAAAAGCCTATTTTGTATGACACTTTGATTCATTTGGCTGTCAAAATGAATTCCCCAACTCTCCTGACATCCCATTTTCCTTGAGCAGGGGATAAACCCAGTGAATCCATGTTTACAAAGATTGTTAGTCGAAGGAAACTCTAAAAGTCAATACCATTTGAACCCAAATCCATTTTCTCTTATGACAGTTACTCTTGGTGCCCTTAAAAGCCTGGCAAACACTGGGTTGTGACCTTTATCCTTCAGCTGTCATAACAGGACACTTTCTCTGGAAACAGTCAGTGTTAGCAGGCCTGTGCTATGGCCGCATTTCCCTCACCCAGCCCTGTTGGGAGGGGCCTAAGCTGCAGTGTCATTCTCCTGTACTGACGGCATGATGCCAACAAGGGAAACACTCAAAAGAGAGCCACCTCTCTGCATCTGGGATTCTTCTTTACCCTAAAACCTGTAAGTCATGGCTCCTTCCTACCCTGTCCTCCTGGGCTATGCCACCCACTGACTAGCCAGAGGCCATGAAAGTCCCCCAAATATTTTAATCCTACAACCCATAGTTTTTATACCATATTCCTAGACCACAGCTGTGCTTTTATGGCATTTATCTGCTCTAAAACATCCTGCCAGAAGCTGGGCATGGTGACATACATCTGTAATCTCAGGAAGTAGAGGCAGAATCCAGAGTTCAAGGCCAGCTTCATCTACATAGCAAGTTTGAGGACAGTTTGAAATAGCTATCAGTTAAGAGCATTTGCTGAGTATTTTATTTTTAACTTTTATTTATTTTTGTTTTATGTATATGAGTGTTTTGCCTCTGTGTGTGTGTGTGTACATACTGTGCATGCTTGGTTTCTACAGGTGTCAGAAAAGGTTGTCAGATCCCCTATAACTAGAATTTGGATGGTTGTGAGCTAAGTGGTAGATGGGTGCTAAGACCCAAACCTGGGTCCTCTACAAGAGTAACAAATGCACTCTTAACTACTGTGCCACCTCTCCAAGCCCTGCACTTGCTGTTCTTGCAGAAGGTTCTATTCCCAGCACCAGCATGGATGGTGGCTCACAACCATCTGTAAGTAACTCCAGTTCTAGGAGTTCCAATGCCTGCCCTTTTCTGGCCTTTGTACCAGGCATATACATGTGTATATACATATTTGCAAGCAAAATATTCATACATGTTAAAAAAAAAAAAGTTCCTACCAGGCCTAGTGGCATAGGCCTGCAATTCCAGTACTTGGCAGGTAGGACCAGTAAATAATAATTCTTGCTCTAGAGGGAGTTTGAGGCCAACCTGGACTACATGAGACTCCCTCAAGAGGGAAGGGGAGGCTGGGATATACCTTAGTGGCAGAGTACTTCCTCAGCATGGCCTGTGTTTGATCCTTAGCAGCACAAGTGGGAAGAAAAGGAATAGGATAGTGAGCCAAAGAGAGGCTGACAAAGGGTGGAATATTCTCATCAGTTAGAATGAATGGAACATGAGCATTCTAGCTTTGTAAATTCAGTCAACCATCTCCACCATGGAGCCTTCCTTGAGTACCTTGAACCAAAGATGATTTCCTCTAGATGGTCATATTTGTACCTTATCACTTTTGTTCCCATACTGCCTTTTTTTTTTTAAAAAAAGCAGGGTTTCATATATCCCAGGTCAGCCTCAACTCACTATGTAGCCAAGGGTGACTGAATTTCTGATCTTCCAGCCTTTGCCTCATGAGTGCTGGAATTATAGGTGAGCCCTACCATGTCTGGCTTATGCAGTGCTGGGAATCAGACCAAAGGCTTTATGTATGTTCTGTAAACATTCTACCAACTGAGCCACATCACCTTTACTGCTTTTTTTAAAAATGATTATCTGTGTATGTATATGTCTCTGTGAGAAATTAAACACATATGGGAAAGGAGGGTGTGCATGGCTTGTCATTCAGAGGATTTTGGAGTCCTTGGAGCTGTAGTTATAGGCATTTTTAGGTGCTGGCATACAAACTCCAGCCCTCATGACTGTGAGCATTCTTAACTTCTGAGCTGTCTCTCCAATCCCCATGCTGCCTTTTATGGTTGCTCTTTCTACACCTTGTCTCAGGAACAGGTAAGTCAGGAAAGAAGGCGCCCTTAGCCCATACTAGGGATTCATGTGTTCTAATCCCAGCTGTAGTGTTGAGGGCTTTCTACCTTGAATTTCTGTCTCCATCCCTGTTTTATTTTTATCATAGTGTTTATCACTATCTGGATTTACATTCATATCGGGGTTGGGAGGCTGGACCAGGACTGGGTGCTAGGAATTCAGTCCAGGGTTTTGTCCTTGCTAAGAACATTCTTATTGTTGGTTGTTTTACTCTTTGGCTCTTTTGGGGGGGGCCCACCACCCAGCTCCCAAATAAATCACACATAGAGGCTTATTCCTAGTTAGGAGTGCCTGGCCTTAGTTTGGCTTATTTCTAGCCTATTTATTTATTTATTTTCCTATTTATACTCTCTGCCTGCCAACCCCACCTATCCTTGCTCCTGCCTCGCTACTGGCTGTTCAGCACTTTCTTAGACCATCAGGTGTTTTAGACAAGTAAAGAATCACAGCTTCACAGAGTTAAACAAATGCAGCATAAACAAAAGCAACACATCTTTACATATTAAACAAATGCTCCACAGCATAAACAAAGTAACACACCTTAAAATACTATTTCCGGCTGGGCGGTGGTAGCACATGCTTTTAATCCCAGCACTCGGGAGGCAGAGACAGACGG